CCTACTACAGCAGGTGAGTTTATTAGTACTTCATGGATAACGTGACATCTCGCTCCAGATAAATCAAATCAGATACTCATAAAAAAGGGGAAAGAGAAGAAAGGAATGTCTCGCTGTTTCAAGTTATCAAAGTTACGGTCACTGAATTACGAAAATTAGGTAAAGTTACAAAAACAAAGCAATGAAAGTGACGCTTGTCTGTCAAGAGTTATTACGAAGGTAGTAAAAGTGTTACGTAAGTTAAGTGTTAATACTTATGTTTGAGTAACGAAAAGTGAAGCGTGCGAGAAGGAGGTGATAGAGTTGAAAGTCACATGAAAATAAAAACCGAAGCTGCGGCAGCAGCAAACATATCTAAGAGGAACAAGCAGACAGACACTAAACGGTTTCAAAAGCAAAGCGGAGGAAAAAAGAGGTTATTTTTTTTCTTTCTTTTTTTAGAAAAATAACCGTTATTGTTTGGTGAAATAATGGAGGAAGTTATTTCTGTTGAGCTAGCTGCTCCTCCTTCTTGGAAGAAAATGGTATTTCTTTCTTTCTTTCTTTGTAAATTTTTTACATTTATTATTATTATTATTATGTGTATAATAAATATGGTTTCTTGCTTTGGTATGGTAAATTTTGTGTTCTGTTCCAACTTTACTTGTGCAATTAATTTAGGTGGAAAATTATGTTTTATTTATTTATTTATGTAAGTATATGTTTTAGGGTTTTATTAGTGCTAGGTGGTATGAATTCGGTTTGGGATAATATTGTCTGTTTTTAATTTTGTGGTTATGGTTTATGTAGAGATTTTTAATTCTGGACGTAATTATGTTACTTAGGGGTTTCTTCTTAAATTTTACTATTTTATTAGTTTACAGAGGTTGTAGTGTTTTGATTAGGTTTAATATTCCTTTTCTTTTTTTTTTTCTTAGCCTTTTGCTATGTTATGTTTCAGCTAGTTTTGACTTTGGGTGCTAAAGAATTTCCAGCAATTTTTTTTTCTCTTACTATGAAGAAAGATGAAGGGTAAGATTTCATTTTGTTGTTTTTTTCTTCTTCCCAGAAATGCTATTTTCTTGGAAACGTTTGTTTCTGATGCTAGAATTGGCAAATTGTTATGGCTTATCCTATGTTTGTTGTTTGGAAGTTTTTGATAGCTTTAATTCAAGTTCTAACTTTTGCGGTGTCAATTTTTTGTCAGTTTTAATCTCAAGTTTACTGTTGGAGTTCTTCCCCTGTACTTGATTATGCCTTCAATTCTGCTTCTAACGAGTTGGTGATTTCAACTTGTAAGATGTTTGAAAATTTTTAGAGCGATTTGGGATTGTTTTTCCCAACTGGATGAAAACTATCCTTCTCCTGTTCTTTGTCACAGTGTGCTCCTGTCCTAGTTTTTTTCAGCTCTAAAATGCCTGAATATTGATTGATTTATGGAAGGGCATTATTTTTGTTTTATTTTCCTCGCTAAGTAAGATTTCCGGTTTAAGTTTTTTGTGTTTGCTTCCTGTGTTCTTTTCTGTACCTGGTTAGAGGCCAAGATACAGTTGAGGTAGGTTTCAGTTTGTGGAATCATTCAATCTTGGCTAGCAACAGCCTACTTTATCAGTCTTTCCTGCTGTCTATCTCTTACATTTCTATGTTCCCTTCCAGTATCAGAAAGGTAAAACATCTACAGTCTAGTTTGTTTGGATTTGATATCTGGAACACTTTGTTTTGCTGCATATAAAGGTCAGAATTTTAATCAATTCATAGGATACATTTGTAAAGAACATCTGCACACAAAGATGGGGCTACCAGAACCTTCCCAGTTCATGCCACCTAAATTCTAGCTTGAGTCATAGTATTAAGGTCCCAACGTCCTTGTTTGGGTTACTTGGCATTCAGTCAAGTATATCCATGAGGTTTTATCTTGGGACATGCTTGGGAACTAGCATTATGTTTGATGCCTGACATATTTTTTTGCTTCTTTTTTTGTTAGATCAATGATCATGTTCTATCAAAACTCACCATCCTCTGTTTATCTTGGGAGTTCTTATGCTTGATCTTGATGTATTATTAGATGAGTCAGGGAGGACCAGTCCTTGCAATTTGGTTTGAACTTTCTAATTCTTCATTTTTATATGATTATTGTGCTATTTTTAATCTGTTGGTTCTTCTAAGAGGCATATTTGAGGCACTGGTGAGTTTTAAGGCTGGACCATATTGTGAGATGCTTGCTCTTTTTGTTTATTTGGGTTCAAGAATCGTAGAGTTTTGTATGATTTGATAGAGTACCTTGTCCTAAGCCTTTGGACTTGCATTAATCATCACTCGTAGTAATAATTTTCTGATGACAAGGGTCGATTTTTCTTCCTATTTTGATTTTGTTGCTAACTTTGAAGACATTTTTGTTAGAACTGGTATTTGTAGCCTACAAAAGTACTTCCACTATGGATATTGACACCTCCTCACATTCATAGTATGGTGGATGGGAAAGGCAAAATCAACGAGATATTGGGGATTTTTCAATGAGAGAGGATGCGGTCTCCTATGATAATACATGTGTGCTGCTGTAGACTACAGCTGCTGATTGGATCTATTGAACCAGTGCAGCAGTTAGTTTATTCTGTATAGTGTTGAATCAGTAGTTCCCACCTCAATAGTCTTGGCCCATATTTGTCGAAAGTGCATTAACCGAGTCCAATTGGTTCATTTCTTAGTATGGTTTGAATTTATTATCAAATAAACTGAAACTTATTGCAGCCTTAAAAAACCAGACAATTGTGCTACTCAACTTGTCATCAGATGTGTTAAATAGAAAAGCATCATTTGGTATCTTATGGGAGTATGTCATTCTCAAATGGTATTTCTGTCTGTGAAGTCCTTGTGGCTAGTATCATTTAATACATTCATTGATATACTGCAGTAAGACTATTTAATGCTTTTCTACTTGCAGTTACACTGTATGTGATTTTTACATGTTTATAATCTATGTAAAAGTAGAACGTCACTAGGTAGGATAATAGTTCTCATACTAATATCCGATCTTGTTATGTATACTGGTAAATGCATCTGTGTCAGTGTTTCAAAGCTTGTGACCTTTTACTTTGTTCTTTGAGGTTTTAAGCATAGATTGAAGCATGCTGCTAATTATTACTATTAATTTCATTACTGAACCTTTTCTTCTATATGATATAACCTTTTTGTTGTTCAGCAACTCCTCTCTAGTCTCCTCGCCCCCTTAATGTAACTCTCTTTAGGACAACATATTGGTTCTCCCTTTCAGCTAAGTCATTGACAGCATGGAGAGATACTGCAACAATTACTATTTATGCATCCTTTCTCGTACTAATGACTGAAATTTGTACCACAGCACCCCTGCTGTTTGGGTTGGGTTTTAAGGGCATTTCTTAAACCTCATTGCGAAAGTTATTTCAATTTTGGTCATCCATCATCAAGTACATCTACTGAATTACTGTGTTGTTTTTTGATCTACTGGCATATTGTATTGCTACTTCCACTGAATTGTTTTGTGTGTGAGGTGTGTTTTGTTTACGGGCCTTGTTTGCAATTTGTAGAGGCAAATTTAATCTTTTATCAAATTATTTTGGATGGATGGTCATGTTTTAAACAAATTCAACTAGAATTGAAAAAATTGTGCATAAAAATTGCATTGAGAGTAAAGTCAATCGGCGGGATAATAAAAAAAATGTCAAGTTTGGTTGTCTGTGGAAGGCATAAACTACCGGTTTTCTTTTTTCTTTTTATCCTCCTTTTGTACCATGCATATAATATCTTTACTTGAAAGATATATCAAGGTTTGTGTCAGCTTGAAGAGCCAAGTGCGTATAGAGGTTTGTGTTTCTGTAATAAAAGAATGCAGTAATTCATGGTTGAGATGCCAAAATCAGAAAACATGTTATGAAAGGGAATTAGTTTGAGGACACTAGTGGTGAAAGCACCTTATTTGAAGACAACTTATTGGAGTGGTAAATGAGTTTCCTGTTTCCGTAGGTTTATTGCCTATTATTATTATTATTGTGATTCTCCATGGACATCATAAAAGGACCAAGCTAGAGTGTCCTTTTTGGCGCTTATATATATAATGCGGTTTGTCAAATTCTTTAGTTAATAATATTTTGCTAACATAGTTCTTATAGGATATGAGCGATGGAAATCAGTTGAGATAAGAAGAAGAGTTTCAATAACATATGAAGCCAATAAAAAATAAAATAAATAACATTATGTGCTTACAGGAACCAATGAAAAGTCTCTAAAAGAAGCAACTGATATTCATGCATTTTTTTTTCTAATATGAAAATAACTAAAATCCCACCATTTTAGTTGGGTAGGGGAACCATATTTTTAGAAGCAAGGAGACCAGATGCAATATTTTAGGGAAATACTGAAGAGCTGGATTTAGTGCACGGGGAATTCCAGATTTTGTGGTCTCGGTGCACAAGGTACCTGGCGATTATTTGTTTGTAATTGTCGATAATGAATATACTTGGAATTTATGCTTCGTAGGCTAGGTTGCATCATGAAAAGTGAAATAGGGAGTCATTTGTCTATTTGACTCGAGAATTGAGATGTCTCTCTACCAAAAGTACCGGAGAAGAGTTGTTAGATTGTTCAAATTGGTCAAATTAGGAGTAGGATTGTTCAGAAAACATTAAGGGAAACATGACCGCACAGTCAAGTGAAAGGTTATGAAAGCTAAAGATGGTAAAAGTGGCATGCAATAATTTGCTGATGGTTATGAAGTAGGTAGAATATCTGTTCTGACTTGACTCCGGGCAGAGAATGGTTACGCAGTCATGCCATTCTGTCTTTATTGATGATTTATATGCGTTTCTGTGAGACAGCTGGTAACAAAATATGACATTAGCAGATGCCACTGTCTTCCTGTCTTATTTATTTTTTATCTATTTATATTGTTGCCGAGTCATTTGATTCTGTTATCAATTAATTATTAGCCCAATGGCATGGAGCACAGAGAGGTATTAAATATCTTGTTTATGGTTCCTTCTTGTTGTATGACTCAGTGTCTCGGTTCCTTGCAGTATTTCCCCAAGGGTGTAGGCACATCAAAGAAGAATGAAATCGTGTTCATTGCTCCAACTGGGGAAAAGATTAATAACAAGAAGCAATTGGAGCAGTACCTGAAATCACACCCTGGCAATCCTTCAGTATCTGAGTTTGACTGGGGCACTGGTGAGACTCCAAGAAGATCTGCAAGAATCAGCGAGAAGGCCAAGGCAACTCCACCTGAAAAGGAACCCCCAAAGAAGCGAGGCCGAAAATCATCTAGTTCAAAGAAAGATGAAAAGGAATCTGTTACTGAGGGCGAGAATGAAGTTCAAATGCAAGATGCAGAGGGAACTGAAAACGGTAATGCAAAGGCAGAGAAAGGAAATGATGGTACCACGGGAAATCAGGATAAGAAAGGAAACGAGGAACAAGAAGAAGCTGACCAGATAAAGTCGGCAGATGCCAATATGGAAGAAACTGCTCCGGAGGATGTCAATAAGGACATAAATACCCAAGAGGATGCTGCTCCGGGCGATGTCAATAAGGACATAAAGACCCAAGAGGATGCCAAGGATGGCAATGAAGGAATTGCTAAGGAAGGTCAGCACGCTTTGGAAGTTAAAGAGAAAGAAAATGACGAGGCAGCAGTGAAGGACAAAGCTGCTGAAGAAGCTGGTTCAAGTGAAGTGGCTGAAAATGGAAACAACCAGGTTGAAGATTTGGCTGAAAAGGTACCACAAACTGAGGCAGAGAAAGAGAGTGCCTCAGGTCAAAAGGACATTCCAGATATCGTGGCAATGAATGCAGATGGTGGAGCCCAGAAAGTGAACACTAATGAAACTGTCACTGCATCCGAGGGAGAGATCAAAGAGAAACTGAACGTGCAGGAGGACGATGCAAATTATAGCATTCCCATGGATGGGAACGACAACCCAATGGGTGGGGAGGTCCTGGAAAATGGCAAGGTAAACCAGATGGGGCCGACTGATGCCCCTCAGCATGCAGCTCCCCCTTCTGTGAGCTGCTGAGTGAACATATCGTCCTTCATCCGAAGCGCTCTTCTGTAACATCCGCTTCTCTTCTAATTCAGGTGACTTGGATGTTTTGGGTGACTGTAGCTTTAAAGTCATTGCTAAATTTGATAATATGTTGATGTTAGATTTAAAGTCAAGGGATGTCACCCTGTCTGTACCCCACTAGAGTAGGTTGTAGTTGCAGCAGCTTTTGTTGGTTTGCATAGATGGTGCAGGACTCGAGATTGTAAGACTTTTAATTAACTTGTATGCTTATTCACTAGACTAGAATATTATATATATATGGTTGCACTGTTGTTTATTTTGTTGTTTTGTGTGGCATTGCTGCCATCTGCAATGTTTAAGCAGCGCTTGGGTGAGACTAGTTCAACTATGAAATGGCTTAATGACCGACTACAACTACAGTCTCTGCCTGCTGCTTAACCTTTCTTTCTCTCTCTCTTTAGAAGAGTGGCCACTGGCCAGCACCAGGGAAGGGGCCGTTGGCTGTGCTTGTTTCGAGAATGTGTTACTTTTTAGATTGCTGAAGTTAGATACAGTTGCCATTGTTGAAATTATTCTCCTCCTGCATTCAAAATGTTTTCAATAGCTGAAAGATCCCTCTGAGGATCTATCATTGGATCCTCCAGAGGGGTCCGGTCACTGTCCAAAACATTCCACTTTAGTCTCGTGCTCCTGAGTTGATAGAATATTGATTTCCATAAACAAAATGAATAAATAAAATTATGACTCAAGAAAAGTATATACAGAGAACACAGTCTATGTTTTGTTCTTTCTTGAGAAAGAGAATAGTTCTGAAACTTAGCCGTGACAACGAGAGGAAAGCTAAGAATCAATACCAACCCTCCCAGAATTCTCTTTCTTCTTTGGAGTAAAGTTAAGAATCTTCTTTCCAAATTCTTTCTACTCAAGGTTAATTACGAAATCTATTTTATAGTTCCTTGAAGGGTGTTATGGCATACCTCAATAACAAGAATTGCATTATCATCCGAAGGGTTTGTCTTTTTGACACTTTCGAGTTACAAAAGGCTGGGCCAGATCCACTTCTTTTTGACAAATGGAGTACACTTTCCTTGATCATCTTTCCAGCAGAACAATGGGTTTCTATTCTTTCTTTCTCTGGCTCCTCCTCGTCTTCTCTGTCATTTCTTCCAGTGGTACCTACTCTCTACCTTTTTTCTTGATTTGTATTAAGTTGATGTCATGATATTTACATTTCAGAATTTATATATCGTTAAACATTAAACAAGAAGTTTTATTTATTTATTAGTTTGTTTTGGAACGATAAGATTATATTGCTGGGAATTACTTTTGATAAAACTTTTAAGAAAATGTTGCACTCGTCTTTGGAATATGAATGAGTTCATTCTAATAATATATGCACAATAAACTTGTAAAACGGTGGAAATGAATAGGAGCAGTACGCAAGAATTTGCTTTTGTTAATCTTTTCTCTGTCCTTGAAATAGCCCTTTTCCTATAATTTTTTTTCCACCACTGAAGACAAGAATAAAGGAAAAAACCAATGATTTTGCCCCAATTTTCAGCATGACACTAGTTGTATCCCTGCATTGTCTGGGGTTATCCAATTCTAATTTCCTATTATTTTTATATAAATAGATTTTTTTTTAATTTGTTTATATCAGTATTTTGTAAAATGATACTGCCCATGTCTTTATAAAACTGAAATTTTTTCTCCACCTTTTGAAAAAAGTACTACAAATTGCAATAAGTGATTCTTGTTTTTATTGAAAAGGATGTAATCGAAAAAAGAAAACAAAAGGGGGTATAAATGATACATAAATAAACACCTATACTATTGCAAAGTTTTAAACTTAAGGGACCGTAAGATAGGTTTAACGAGGTAGTATGTAATTTCTTTTTGTTTGTTTTACATATCCATCCATAAAATATATGCATATTATAGCACAATAGTTTGAAGTAAAAAATATTAAAATGAAAACATTATAAGAAATGTTAAGACTCCAATTTCTTGGGTTTAAAATTCTCTTTCAATCTCTCTCTCTGATAGATTCTGTTTTCGGAAGGTTTTCATGTTTGAAATGATAATGATATCTTATCAGCAGCAAATAGTGGTGGAAATGGTGCTTTTATTTATTTGCTGTGTTCTGCAGTTTTGACAGGGCAAGCATTCAAGGGAACGTACGGAGTAAACTATGGCAGGATAGCAGATAATTTACCTTCACCAAGCAGCGTGGTGACACTTCTGAAAGCGGCCAAGATAAAGAATATCAGAATCTACGACGCTGACCATGATGTCCTCAAGGCCTTTAAGGGTTCTGGTATTGAAATAATAGTTGGACTTGGCAATGAGTATTTGAAAGATATGAGCGTAGGGGAGGATGGCGCAGTGAATTGGATAAAGGAAAATGTGCAGCCATTCCTCCCTGGAACAAAAATTGTTGGAATAGCAGTGGGAAATGAAATCTTGGGCGGCGATGGCCATGAATTATGGGAGGTTTTACTGCCGTCGGTTAAAAATGTTTATGGTGCACTTCGAAGGCTGGGTCTGACGAAGGCTGTTCAGGTTTCCAGCCCGCACTCAGAGGCTGTCTTTGCCAATTCTTTCCCACCATCTGCGTGCGTTTTCAAGGAAGACGTTCTTATATACATGAAACCACTGTTGCAGTTCTTCTCACAGATTGGTTCTCCTTTCTACATAAATGCCTACCCTTTTCTAGCCTACAAGAGCGATCCTGAGCATATTGACATTAACTATGCTCTTTTCAAATCAAATCGGGGCATTCTTGATGAAAAGACTAATCTGCATTACGATAACATGTTTGACGCTCAGCTTGATGCAGGTTATGTTGCATTAGAAAAGGCCGGGTTTCCGAAGATGGAAATCATCGTTTCGGAAACAGGTTGGGCTTCTCGCGGGGATGAAGATGAAGCAGGTGCCACTTTAGAAAATGCCAGGACTTACAATCGTAATCTGCGTAAACGGCTAGCCAAGAAGAAGGGAACCCCATACAGACCAAAGGCTGTGCCAAGAGCTTATATTTTTGCGTTGTTCAACGAAAATTTGAAGCCTGGGCCAACTTCTGAGAGGAACTTTGGATTGTTTAAACCTGATGGAAGCATTGCATATGATATTGGATTCACTGGGCTTAGAGATTCCGCAGGAGTTTCATCTCGTGTTCCTTTCAAGGTATGGGATGCCTCATCACCTTTTGGCATTTTAGGTTCTTGATTCGCTGCATAAATTGCAGTTTCTTACACTTATGAAGGATTTCTTCATCTTGCAGGTTATCGGAGCATATGGTTGGGTTGGATCATCCTGTAAATTGGTTCTTACAATTAGTATCACACTTCTGCTACTAATTTCAGCTTCTTGAAATGGCGGAACGGTTTAGAATTTACTGATGTACGTAGTTGTAACATGTCCATGTATACTTGATTCATTTTCTATCGTTGGTCTGACAGTAATTCTTGAATCAATTGACAAATGAAAATTTGATGACACATTTTTAAAATATCTTTAGAAATGTATCACAAAATGTAAATAAATTCGTGGAAAGGAAAAGAGGGGGCTCTGATATTGTTTCACCACATCCGATTTATTCTTTTTTCCTTTTTTTTAGATGTTTTGAGGAATATCAGATATGGAAAGATGTCCCATACATTTACTAATGTGACATTGAAGATTAAAGTTTCGAAAGAAAATCATTTAAACAAATCTGATTGATTACTCAGAGATATGATTAAGTTGAAACGAAAAGTCAAACCCAGAATTGGACCAAAAAAAAAAAAAAGTTCTCGCTATGGATTTGTTTGCCAATAAAATTAATGAGCAAGGGGAAAAAAAAGCGGAGATAAATTAATTAATTTATTTTTTTAAGTTACAAAAAATGAAGGAAAGAAATTTGAAAGATGAAAATATTATTATTATTATACTATAGATAATGTTAATTAAATGATGAAAAATGTTAAGAATGATTGTTATGAGTTTAAAAAAGATCATAAGAAATAAGAAATAGACTACTGGTGGGTTCCGTTAGAAATCAAAAAATTTCAAATTAAATTTCTTTCATAAAAACAAACGCCAGGTATAAGAAAAAGATAGAAAAATGGGATATTAAAGTAAAAACAGAGGAAAAACCATGACAGACTTTTTTTTCCCGTAACATATGTAATTTTGATTGTCATATATTTAGACAACCTGTTTTTAAAAGTGTTGTCAAATTTTCCTTCATATGTTTAGTTGAAGCATTTTAGTTTACGAATTACGATATTACTATGTTCAAAATCTAAAATGGAGTTGCTTTGAAAATAAATAAATAAATAAATTGCTGTCAATGATTTTGTAAGTGGAGAAGGAAAAGCTCAAGCCAAGTTAAGGGAAAAAAAAAAAAAAAGAAACCCACAACTCTTAAAGCCCAATTGAAAGCAAAACGACCCAAACCATCGTAGCCCAAGACCGAATCCCAAGAGCTTCTAAGTTAACGACGCCAGTCAAAAGCCACCTGTACGGCTATGCTATAGTATTTCAGTGAATGACATGCCATTTGTCCTCTCACGCTCCATAATGATGGCCAAACGACATGTTGTCCATCAACTAATTTTTTGTTGACGATTATTTGAAACTTTATTTTTACACCATTTCATCCAAAATGTATCTTAAAATCATCCTCACAATATTCGTAGAATTATTGATGACAACAAAATCCATTAAAAACTATTAGGTACTCTAATCTCTAAGAGCATCATTAGCCCACTCAACTGAAAGTGTTACTAGGGAGGTTTGCCATCCCTCGCTTTACCTTTCCTTCCTTTTTTTATTTGATCATGGAATATAATAATATCATTAAATACTAAAAAATGAAAATACATCCATATTTCTAAAATTTAAATTACAAATTATTAATTGAAAAAAGATTAAATAAAACAACCAACAATAATAATAAAAAATAAAATTTACGTTATTTTTAGTTTGTTTGTGAATATTAAATCAAATTCTCTTTATCTTTCTTATTGAGGGTTTTCTAAAATAAAACGATTGTTGCAACTCATACGAGTAGCAAAAATCTCAAGTCATCATCAACCAACATGTCGTATTATCAGATTTCATTAATGGAAGATATTATTTTTTCATGATTGATAAAAAATGTTAATCTCTCACGAATCATAATATGTATTAGCAAATTTTTATTCAAATCAGACATAAGTCCAACAAGTGAAAGATAAAACCTGATTATTGGTATAAAAAAAAAAAAAACAAAATAAGATCTAGAACCATATGAAAAGAGAAATTCTCAATTATATTGCTGTGTCCTCCTCCTTAAAAAGAGAAACTCTCAATTATATTGCTGAATCCTCCTCCTTAATTCATTCTAATTTGGTAATTTAATAAATTTAAGAATATAAACCAAATTGATCATGTCTTGTCGAACAATTTTCTTGAGCATCCGCCATGCCAACTGTTAAGTTCTCATTGAACAAATCCTCCACATGTGTTCATATAATTTAAAATGTTTATTTTAAGAAAAAATAAAAAAAATATTGGCATTACATACCTATTATCAAACGGAAATATCTCATAAAATATTAGGCCACATTTTTATGAATTGCATTCCCTTCTGTCTCCATAAGAAAGTGTCAAAGGGCCCAAAAAGAAAAATAGTAAGGTACAAGTTACGAAGGTTCGCCACCAGCTAACCTATGAGCAATTAGACTTGCTTGTCAGCGTCTCAAGGTCTCCCTTGTTAGCAGAAAATAAAGCCCTGTATGAACAAGGAATAGTCCTTTTGGTTCTGAAATGAGCAACGAAATATTCCAATTCCAAGCATTCTGGATCTTCATAGTCGGAATCTTAATAGCCTAATTTATTGACTTTTTTTATTTTTATTTTTCAACAATACTTCGAGCCAAGAACTTAATTGCTATGACGTAGAAAGCTCTGCAGTTTTCTTTACAGGAACTTCATACGGCTCTCTTTTTTCTTAAAAAAAAATCCTATAATAAAAAATGTACAATAATATTGTATGGAAATGTAATTTTAAAATTTAGATTTAAGTGATTTCGTGAATTATTATGTCATTTCAATCTTATTTTGTCATATAATTATATAGAACCAAAAATATCAAAATTTGATATCCACTAAATGAATAAAATTTAGGAGAAAATTCTAGAGCTAACAAGGATCTCCAAATCCCTGAATTTCCATTTCATTCATTTCAAAATTTGACCTTGAAACTTCTAAATAAAAATTTCAAGCTCTAAACTGTTAATTAGTATATGTCCCCATAAAAACAATCACTTCTAAATCTCACCTTTTGCTTTTAGAAACTTATTGGGTAACATTTACTTTGACTAAATTGCCAAACTAGTTAATTCAATCTATAATTATTTACTATTGCTTACGCATGAATTTTTATATGCCCGTAATATTTTGTTTTAACATATCACAAATATATCTTCCTCTCACAAATAATTAGTCATAATTATTTTTTAATGATACGAGATTTGGATTGTTTTAGTCTAACAAAAAATCCAATAACCGATTAAAAGATTAAATATGTTATAACGCTAATTAAATTTAAAAAGTGATAGATTTAGTTTTAAAAACTGATATAAAAATATCCAATTATATATAAAAATATAAAACACACACACACACACACACACACACACATATATATATATATATATATATATATATATATATATATCGGAATGTGTGACTAATAAAATTACCTTGAGGTGTACAAGTACATGAAGGGGAAAATAGAGAGTGAAAGATAGCGAAGTACCTTACCTAATCTGCAAACTAAAGCAAAGTCAAAGCTTGTGGGAAATCTGGATGGCCCAAAAGAAACTCAGAATAGTCTACGCATTCAAATTTTCCACCAAATTGGTATCAACTCTCAACCCTTTCTCAATCAAAGCCTCTAGCAGAGTGGACTCTACGTACATGCATATGTTCAAAGAAGACGGGCATCTTTGGTTGCCATCTAAACTGTTGCCTGGTCGCAACCCGCGTTTTGCTAGACCCAAGCAACAGTAATACCCCTTCTCTATATATAGCAGACACTAAATCTTATGTGGTCATAACATTCATATAACTGTAAGCACAATACGCTATACACTTGCTGAAGTATAGTGAGGAATTGAGCATAGTTATTGGGTTTTTGAGAGAGATGGCAATTATTAATTATATTGGTGTAACTTTTGGTTTTGCTATGGTGGTATTGTTGCAATGCACCGCCGCACAAACTGTGCATGTGGTGGGAGACAGTATGGGTTGGACAGTTCCACAGGGTGGTGCTCAGGCGTACATTAATTGGGCTAATGGCAAGAACTTCATGGTTGGTGATATCCTAAGTAAGTGCATCACCTCTAATTCTCTCATTGTAATTATCTACCATGGTCATTGATAATTATACCCTTCAATTTTACATGTTTTGCATCCAAAAAGTCTCTTATGTTTTTTGTTCGTCCCTCCAATCCTAATTTTTTTATTCTGACCTTGACGCTGGTGGTGATTTGAATAATAGGCTTCCTATTTTATTTTTTGATTTCTTAGGACAAGTTAAATTAAGCATGCATAAATAATCATCATCTTAATTTTTTCTTCCAGCTTTTGATTTCGCCACCAACAATCACGATGTTCTTCGAGTTCCAAAGGCATCTTTTGATGGATGCACAGCTTCAAACCCTATTGGAGAGACAATTACTACAGGTCCTGCTAACATTACTCTTGACTCTGCTGGCGAGCACTACTATATTTGCACGGTTGGCCGACATTGTCTGGGTGGACAGAAGCTAGCTATCACTGTCTCATCAGGCACAACAAGGGCATCACCACCATCTACAACCCCTAGATCAGCTCCACCAACAAGTCCTACAGCTAGTCCTTCACCTTCTTCAAATAGCACTCCCGCTGACTGTGCTCCAACACCAGCGTCAAGCCCCATAAGTCCAGTGACTCCAGAGTCTTCGGTCCCAGCTATCCTCTCCACCTGGTTCATCATCCTCTAATGTTTTGGCAAGTTTATTGGTGTCCATGTTGGCTGTTTGCATTGGTCTGGTCTTTTGAGATTATGGAGAGTGACTTATAGTTAATGCTTTAATTAATTGATTATTGGTGTCCATGTTGTACTTATTTTGAGATTGTTATTTGGTTTGTCTTTATTAAAGAGAGATGATTTATTTATGATGATTTATGTAGTTTGGCACTAGTTGCATCCCTATATTGTATGGGGGTGATCTAATTCTATTTTTCCAATAATTTATATATAAATAGAAATTTTTAATTTGTTCATATCAATATTTTATAAAATGAAAATACCCATGAATGTTAAATTGAAATTTTTGCTCTCACCTTTTGAAAGAATTACTACAAACTTTGTTAAAGAACATATCCCACATTAAATAGATAAACAAAAAAATGATTAATATAAAGAGTTGAAAACGAATCATCCTTCGTAAGACTAGTTTTTAAATAGAACTTAATCTCTATTAACTAACTCTATGTGGTATCGGCTTCTTAGTCGAAAGAGATGTAACGAAAAGAAGGATATAAATGACATATAAATAAGGGTTGACTATGAGCGAGAAAGAACTCTAATTACTTAAATAAGTAGTCTCGAGTTAAAATTCTTGATTTATCTTAGGAATAAAAAAATAATAATAATTAACAAAAAAAACTAAAGTAAAATGATTGGTTACTATTTACTATACTATTTGAAATATTGTTCACTCGGATTTATTCGCACTATTCACTAAGACAGTTTTTACTATGTAGTGGTATTTTTATAGTTTTCAAATATTTTAAAGACATTTATTATGAAAATTTTGATGATATTACACTTTAGTTCTTCTTTTTTAAACATTACTTTTTTAGTCTATAAATATTTTTTGTTTCATTTTAGTCCTTATTTTTTTGTTTTATTTTGATCACTTTGGTCCTTTTATTTTGTTTTTTAATTAAAAAATAAGGTAAAAAAATTTTAGAAAAAATAATTTACAAAATAAGTTTTTAGTTACGAATCCATTGATTTAACTAAAGAGCTTGTAGTCCAGTGATAATGGTCTCTTGCAACAAGAGGTCACGATGTTCAAATTCTAGCGGATTAGTAGTCTGCTAGGAGCCTTTGGTATGTGAGTAAAAAAAAAGAATCCATTGATTTTGATATTTTTTGTCCTATTATAAATTTTTTAGTTTGTGGATAGACATAAATAAATAACTTTTTAAAAATTTATAAAAAATATAAAGAATAATCAATCAAATCCAAAATTTTGATTAAAAAATTAAAAATTAAATAATTTTTCTTCGGTTTTGATATATTTTGGTATATACATAATATAATACGGAACATTAAACAAAAATAATTTTATATGTTTTATTCGATTCGTAGAGTAGCGCGGGTAAAAAAACTAGTAATCACCTATGCTATTAAAAAGTTTTAAACTTAAAGTACCTTAGGATAGGCTTAAATTGGTATTTAAGATAATTTTCTCTTTCTTTGTTTTACATCTCGATAAAATATATGCATCTTAAATTAAAGATTATAGCACAATAGTTTAAATAAAAATAATTAATAATGAACACATTATAAGAAATGTTAAAAACTCCAATTACCTAGGTTTAAAATTGGATCCCTTTCAATCTTTCCCTCTTATAGATTCTGTTTTCGGAACGCAACGTTAATTTCTTTCATGTTTCAAATGATAGAGTAGTGGCGCTTTCAGTAATTTGCTGTGTTCTGTAGTTTTAACAGTGTACGCATTCAAGGTGATATACGAAGTAAAGGCTGGGTTTGCTAAGGCTGTTGAGGTTTCAAGCCCACATTCAGAGGCTGTATTTGCCAATTCCTTTCCACCATCGGAGTGCGTTTTCAGGGAAGATGTTTTCATATACATGAAACCACCGTTGCAGTTCTTCTCGCATATTGGTTCTCCTTTCTACATAAATGCCTACCCTTTTCCAGCCGACAAGAGTGATCCTGAGCATATTGACATTAACTATATATGCTCTTTTCAAATCAAATCAGGGCATTCTTGATGAAAAGACTAATCTGCATTACGATAACACATGCATGTTTGACGCTCAGCTTGATGCAGGTTATGCTGCATTAGAAAAGACCGGGTTTTCGAAGATGGAAATCATTGTTTCGGAAACAGGTTGGGCTTCTGACGGGAATGAAGATGAAGCAGGTGCCACTTTAGAAAATGCCAAGACTTACAATCATAATATGCATAATCGGCTAGCTAAGAAGACAGAAATCCCGTACAGACCGAAGGCTGTGCCAAGAGCTTATATTTTTGCGTTGTTCAATGAGAATTTGAAGCCTGGGCCAACTTCTGAGCGCTAACTTTGGATTGTTTAAACCTGATGGAAGCATTGCATATGATATTTGATTTATTGGAGTCGGAGAATCCTCCTTTTAATAGCAAATTTTGTGCTCGTTTTATTACCATTTGATAAGTTCAGAACTTAGTATCAAATTACTTAATTTGAATCTCAAATTATTGATTTTCGGACAAAATTGATCAAATTTCTCTAATTGTCGTTAGATATTGACCGTTACTTGAAATGTCAAAATGACGTTATTTTGATATTCTACTGTTAATCATGTTTTTTCAAGAACACATTTTAAAACTATTTTTAACCTCTTAATCTTGAACTTTTTTAAAAAAATTTTATAAAATATTATAAACATTTATAAACTATATATAAACAAATATTTTATAAATATTTCTAACTCTTCTAATTTTGAACTTTTTCTTATAAAATATTATAAACATTTTATATTTTATAATGTATAAAATTAGGAGGGTCAATCCTTAATTATGCTTATTTTAAAATTAGTGAGACCGTCGTATTGAATTTGTATAGAGCTTTATACTCGTGGCCTCCCATCCACATCGGTCTCTACAACTTAATAGTAGTTTTTAAAAAATAATCATCATTATCATCAATAATGACCCCAAAACCAATGGTTAAGGAAATAGTAGTAATGAAAGTAGTTATTATACAATAAATAAAAATAATATAATATTTTTAAAAAAAATCACTTTCATTTATGGTTTTTATTCTCTTCTACTTTATGGATACAAACTTATATTTAATTTTTATTTTTATTCTGAGTTGAGGAATTTGTAGAATCTTTTAGAATAATTTCAATCATATAATTTTTCAAGTCTAAAAAAACATAATGCAAATTAATCATGTCTTGTCAAGAAATTTTCTTGAATATCGGTGCTAACTATTAAGTTTTTATTGGATAAATTCTAGATTCGTGTCCATAATTTGAAATATTTATTTTAAATATTAAAAAGAATTATTATATTTTCTACTATTCTATTTTGGAAATATCTTATTAGATAGGCCACATTTTTAACGAACTGCATGCCCTCTCGTATCCATCAGGAAAGTGTCAAAAGAGCCCACAAAGAAAAATAGTAATTTCAAACTAGCACTACGTGAGTTACAAGTTATGAAGGTTCGCCACCACCAAACATATGAGCAATATGACTTGCTTGTCAGCGTCTCAAGGTCTCCCTTGTTAGCAGAAAATAAAGCCCTGTATGAACAGGGAATAGTCCTTTTGGTTCTGAAATGAGCAACAAAATATTCCAATTCCAAGCATTCTGGATCTTCGTAGTCAGAACCTTAATGGCCTAATTTATTGACTTTTTTTTTTCAACAATACTTGGAGCCAAGAACTTAATTGCTATGCTGTAGAAAGCTCTGCAGTTTTCTTTACGGGAACTTTCATACGGCTCTCTCTTTTTCCTTAGAAAAAGAAATATCATATAATAAAAAATGTATAATAATATTGTAGGGAAATGTAATTTTAAAATTTTGATTTAAGTGATGTCATGAATTATTATGCCATTTCAATCTTATTTTGTTATATGATTATATAGAAACAAAAATATCGAAATTTGATATCCACTAAATGAATAAAATCTATGAAAAAATTCTAGCTAGAGTTTATAATTGGTTAATTTCAATTCTAATAAAGTATTTGATACATTTATCTAATATTGGTCCGAGTCAGATGGAGGACTTTCTTATATCCGACCCGATCTGAATTTTTATTTTTTAAAATAATTATTTTTCAAAAATAAAATATAAGCTTAAAATACAAATTACATCCCATTCATGAATAATAAAATTATAAAATAGAGTCTAAACTTCAAATCTATGCATAAAATTATATATAAAAAACTCCATAAATCATAAGATAAAATTTCATGCATCATGTTGAAAAATAAAATTGTAAGCCCATAAAAAAAGTTAAAAAACCAAGTCGGAAGAGGGTCGAGTGATGGGGCGGGTGAACCGCTTACCTGCCTCTGCATCCGACTTCGTCGAACTAGATTGGATTTTACCTCTAGTCAAACCAAATAAAAATTTGATCCAATCAATTCGAATGGCACTGAGTACCGAATGAATTGGGCTAACTTATCATATTTAGTATAAGTGATTTATACGAAGTAAATAAAAAACTATTTCAATCCAAAAGTTTTAATCTGTTTGGTCTCTATTGTTTTGTGCTGTGAAGCAAAATAATTAAAACATTTGGTAATAAACTATGGTTTTATATTGTGAGTCACTTTATTGTTGGGCTGTTTGAATTAAAATGACCACAAAACACATCAATTTATTACCATATTTTTAGGAGATAAATTAATAAAATAAATAAATATTAATATTTTGAATTTGAAACGTCACATTAATTTAACATAATTTTTCATGCTTGCGTCATTTTAATATAAAAGTTCTAAGAAACTTAACTTATTTATATATTTTATATCATGAGTAGTATATAACAAAATGAAATTTTTATTATTAATATTCTTAATATATATATATATAATGAAAAATAAATGATAAATTACTCTTGATAAAAATTATAGTATTTTTATTTGCGGATATAACGTTCAGAATGCGAGATAATAATACTCAAAATATTGCAATAGATGTCCAGATAAATATGTCCTATTGACATATTTGTAAGTTGTAATTTAAAAAATTGTAAGACTAATTTTTTTTTTCAAAAAAAAAAGAAAAGAAAATAGGTAGCATTCCATCTCAGAAGCATCTTTCTCCATGCTTTTTGAAGCGAAACCTAATGTGTCTAATAAGTGAAATCACCTTCTACTTCCTAAAATTAAACAAATGGAGCTTAAGCTGCTTGTCAAACACTTAGTTTTGTACGTTCAGCTGTTTTGCACAGTAAAAGGAAGGAAAACAGGTGGCCAAACAGGCTCTATACTATTAGATAAGGCTATAAAAATAATTTTATATTATTTTTTAATAATTTCTAAATTAATTTTAATTAGGAAAAAAGAGATGACAGTATTGAATTTTTGACCGTTTAATCAATAAAATTTTAATACTATATAAAAAATCATTTTAATCTAAAAACTTGAGACTTAAACAATGATTTTATATTATTTTATAATAGGGAGAAACATCTAAATTTTGTTATTCTAAATCTCAACAAAACAAAAAAATTTCAAAACATTTTTGAAATATTTAAAATTATTGTATTTTTAAATTAATTTTCAGAAAAACTTGGCATTATGTTTATGAAGGGATAATGCTCAAATATTTAAAAGAATGAATAAAATGTTTATTAAATATCTTATTGTTTTTTGTTTGTACGTATTTGTAAGATTGCTTCTTTTTTTTTTTTTTTTTGGAACTTTGCTATTTTATCCTAGATAATTGCTCTCAAGAAATAAAAAGTTTTAAATTTCTTAATTATGGATTACCTACTATTCTTTTAATTTTTCTAAAGCATTATTGGTTTACATTACAATCTCACCGGCCTGCCTTTTAAATCCACTCTTACATACATAACAAGATTTCCAAATCCCTAAATTTGCATTTCATTCATTTTAAAAATTTGACCTTGAACTTCTAAATAAAAATTTCAAGCTCTAAACTGTCAATTAGTACGTGTCCCCGAAAAAACAATCACTTCTAAATTTCGCTTTTTGCTTTTAGAAACTTATTGGGTAATATTTACTTTGACTAAATTGCCAAAATAATTTATTTAATCTATTAAATTATTTACAATCGCTTACACATGAATTGTAGATAATTTTTTGTTTTAATATACAATAAGTATAATCTATTGTGATAACTAGATACAATTATTTTTTAGCAATATCAAATTTGAACTGATTTAGTTTATAAAGAAGTTTAGTGGTTCAATAAAAACGGAAACGTATTCTGAAAACTAAAACTAAAAAAGTCTAGATAAATTTAATCTTTATTAATGCAAAAACTATTCCGAGAATATATATATATATATATACACACACGCACAAACTTAATGTGTGACCAATAAGATTACCCTTAGGTGTACAAGTAAATGAAATTAAGGGGAAAATAGAGAGTGAAAGATAGCGAAGTACCTTACGTAATCTGCAAACTAAAGCTAAGTCAAAGCTTGTGGGAAATCTGGATGGCCCAAAAGAAACTCAGAATAGTCTACGCATTCAAATTTTCCACCAAATTGGTATCAACTCTCAACCCTTTCTCAATCAAAGCCTCTAGCAGAGTGGACTCTACGTACATGCATATGTTCAAAGAAGACGGGCATCTTTGGTTGCCATGTAAACTGTTGCCTGGTCGCAACCCGCGTTTTGCTAGACCCAAGCAACAGTAATACCCCTTCTCTATATACAGCAGACACTAAATCTTATGTGGCCATAACATTCATATAATTGTAAGCACAATACGCTATACACTTGCTGAAGTATAGTGAGGAATTGAGCATAGTTATTGGGTGTTTGAGAGAGATGGCAATGATTAATTATATTGGTGTAACTTTTGGTTTTGCTATGGTGGTATTGTTGCAATGCACCGCCGCACAAACTGTGCATGTGGTGGGAGACAGTATGGGTTGGACAGTTCCACAGGGTGGTGCTCAGGCGTACATTAATTGGGCTAATGGCAAGAACTTCATGGTTGGTGATATCCTAAGTGAGTGCATCACCTCTAATTCTCTCATTGTAATTATCTACTATGGTCATTGATCAATTATACCCTTCAATTTTACATGTTTTGCATACAAAAAGTCTCTTATTTTTTTATTCGTCCCCCCAATCCTAATTTTTTTATTCTGACCTTGACGCTGGTGGTGATTTGAATAATAGGCTTCCTATTTTATTTTTTGATTTCTTAGGACAAGTAAATTAAGCATGCATAAATAATCATCATCTTAATTTTTTCTTCCAGCTTTTGATTTCGCCACCAACAATCACGATGTTCTTCGAGTTCCAAAGGCATCTTTTGATGGATGCACAGCTTCGAACCCTATTGGAGAGACAATTACTACAGGTCCTGCTA